TTGAAACTACACGTATTTTCTATTACAGTTACACAATTGTTTGATCATAGCCCAAAACATTGACAGTACTCCACTAAAACTACTGCATAGACCGTCATTTCGCATCCTCGTGGAGGTAGCACGATTTGATGATAATGAGGTTCAGCAGGCAGGAGATCAGTTAGAACAAAATCTATGTCAGTAGCACAATCAGAAGATAAAGAGGCTAGCTAGTAAAGCCTTCCTCCCAGTGTCGATTCTCCAAACTCCAGTTTCAATGGCACGTGGTTGTCTCTAGATCTTAGTGCAATCAGCGAACCGGCTTCATCTTTGCTTGGGGCATTGTCAATGGTGATCTTTTTTCCTAATGAAGAACATGAACTAGTTCTTGGCATGCTGGACGGAGGCTTACATGGTACAACTGGGCAATTTCAAACATCATAAAAATGAAAGAGTGTAGCAAATTGAATCATCACACAAAATTTCACCCGACTATTCCGTCCGCAAATTATAAAATGACCTAATTAGAAATTAGATCTAAGAAACCTTACCGTATTTAAACTTCATTTTTTAAAAAAAATTGAAAAAGAAACCTCCGCTGCGGAGTGTCACTGATGAGTTTAAAATAAATCAATATTTCTACCGATGTGAACTCAACCGCCATAATGTAAAGGAGTTTAAAATCAATATCGGAAGCCGCCGTGAATTTTACCGTCTTAACGTATATATCGGAATGGAAATCTGATGCAATACAGAGAAAATGAAAACAAAACGAAAAGTAAAAGAAACTCCAGTTTCAATGGCACGTGGTTGTCTCTAGATCTTAGTGCAATCAGCGAACCGGCTTTATCTTTGCTTGGGGCATTCTCAATGGGGATCTTTTCTCCAATGAAGAACATGAACTAGTTCTTGGCATGCTGGACGGAGGCTTACATGGTACAACTGGGAATATATCTATAGACTGTCTTTTCACGTCCTTGGGATTAGGCATGACTACTGTTTTCGATCGGGGGATGATTTCAATGGCATTAACCTGATTTTGATACTCCATTTCTGAAATTGTGAGATACATCTTGGCTTGTGGAGCAACATCATTTGCAGCCATGATAGGAGTGATATTCCCCTGTCGGAAGACTATGCCCCAGAGTAGAGAGCCATTGTTGCCAATCATTACAGTTATAAAATACTCAGCATCAAATGAACCTTTAGTAACGCCATAAACACTTTGCCCTGTCATGTTAATGACACTAACATTTTTGAAGTTTATTTCATATTTTTCAGCTTCTTTCATGCTTTCTGGTGTGGGAGTTGCAGATGATTGTAAGATACAGTTTATTGTTAAGCTTTCAACATCATTTGTGGTCGTGGTCGTAGTGATCTTCTCCTGTAGGTAAAAGGAAAGATCAAAATGCTTCCCCAACGAATCTACAAGGGAAAAAGGGGAAATAAACTAATAGAAAACAACAGAGGACGTGGGAACAAGAGAAACTCGAAAATCTGCCTCATAGTCTAGAATGACCATTAAAATTTCCTGTAGAACTGTCCTAAGTCAATAAACTACGCCAAACATAAATTAAATGAAGTTCCAGATTAGGTACACCATATAAATGAGCCTAAATAGTTCATACAGTTTTGGCTCGTCAATTATGATTCTAGATCGTATGAACTCAATCCATCTTAATAAAATAGCAATTTCAAACATCATAAAAATGAAAGAGTGTAGCAAATTGAATCATCACACAAAATTTAACCCGACTATTCCGTCCGCAAATTATAAAAGGAACTAATTAGAAATTAGATCTAAGAAACCTTACCATATTTAAAATTCATTTTTTTAAAAAATAGAAAAATAAACCTCCACCGCGGAGTGTCACGGAATAGTTTAAAATAAATCAATATTTCTACAGTCTTGAACTCAGCCGCCATAATGTAAAGGAGTTGAAAATCAATATCGGAAGTCGCCGTGAATTCTACCGTCGTAATGCATATATCGGAATGGAAATCCGATGCAATACAGAGAAAATGAAAACAAAAGGAAAAGTAAAAGAGACTGATTTTTTTGTAATGCAGTTTCAGGGTTTACGAGAGGTCGGCGGCCGTGGTGGTGGAGGATTAGGTCGCTTTGGTAAACTTAACCTCACTATGATAGCACAAATTGCACCAACAATTAGAAAAGGAATAGGAATCTCGTGATTCTCATCATCCATGATTTGGAGGGAATTTTGAATATGGCAGGTTTGGAAATAATTTCAATCGAGGTTTTGTCTCTCTATATATACTTAATGAATCACGCTTTTGATACGATTAATTTTATTATAATTATCAATACTTAGTCCCTGTTTGGCCAGATACATAGAAGCAATTCAAAATTCGCTCAACATGACTTATTGGAGGACTCTCATGAAAACAAACTTCTTTGATCTCTTTACAAGAGAGACAAATAGAAGGGGAGTCGAATATTTGTTAAGTTTAAATTTTTGCTATTGACATTTTCACGAGCGTTGGGATTAATTGTTCATAACGTACCTCTATGGGGAGGAAGTCGTTCATCAGCTTGTGCACTCGTTTTTCTCCTTTTTGTCTCAAATAATGCAATATCATATACTGGGACAAGTAGTTGAAATCATACCCCTAACATATGATCAAATCTAGTTTCCCCTATTAATCAAAATTACTCATTGCATACAATTCACGTGGTATGAACACGAATTCCACTAATCACTTCTATTAATTCAACCACCCCGAACTATTCACAAATGTTGACCGAGTGATCGATGTATCTCATCAT